TCATGTACATGATATTCTTGTTAAACCATCCCATGGTTTGGAATATACACACCATGTACATGATATTCTTGTTAAACCATTTAATGGTTTGGAATATACACACCATGTACATGATATTCTTGTTAAACCATTTAATGGTTTGGAATATACACTCCATGTACATGATATTCTTGTTAAACCATCCCATGGTTTGGAATATACGCACCATGTACATGATATTCTTGTTAAACCATCCCATGGTTTGGAATATACACACCATGTACATGATATTCTTGTTAAACCATCCCATGGTTTGGAATATATGCACCATGTACATGATATTCTTGTTAAACCATTTAATGGTTTGGAATATACACACCATGTACATGATATTCTTGTTAAACCATTTAATGGTTTGGAATATACACACCATGTACATGATATTCTTGTTAAACCATTTAATGGTTTGGAATATACACACCATGTACATGATATTCTTGCCAAACCATTTAATGGTTTGGAATATACGCACCATGTACATGATATTCTTGTTAAACCATTTAATGGTTTGGAATATACGCACCATGTACAAGATATTCTTGTTAAACCATTTAATGGTTTGGAATATACGCACCATGTACAAGATATTCTTGTTAAACCATTTAATGGTTTGGAATATACACACCATGTACATGATATTCTTGTTAAACCATTTAATGGTTTGGAATATACACACCATGTACATGATATTCTTGTTAAACCATTTAATGGTTTGGAATATACACATCATGTACATGATATTCTTGTTAAACCATCCCATGGTTTGGAATATACACACCATGTACATGATATTCTTGTTAAACCATTTAATGGTTTGGAATATACACACCATGTACATGATATTCTTGTTAAACCATTTAATGGTTTGGAATATACACTCCATGTACATGATATTCTTGTTAAACCATCCCATGGTTTGGAATATACGCACCATGTACATGATATTCTTGTTAAACCATCCCATGGTTTGGAATATATGCACCATGTACATGATATTCTTGTTAAACCATTTAATGGTTTGGAATATACACACCATGTACATGATATTCTTGTTAAACCATTTAATGGTTTGGAATATACACACCATGTACATGATATTCTTGTTAAACCATTTAATGGTTTGGAATATACACACCATGTACATGATATTCTTGCCAAACCATTTAATGGTTTGGAATATACACACCATGTACATGATATTCTTGTTAAACCATTTATGGTTTGGAATATACACACCATGTACATGATATTCTTGTTAAACCATCCCATGGTTTGGAATATACGCACCATGTACATGATATTCTTATTAAACCATTTAATGGTTTGGAATATACACACCATGTACATGATATTCTTGTTAAACCATTTAATGGTTTGGAATATACACACCATGTACATGATATTCTTGTTAAACCATTTAATGGTTTGGAATATACACACCATGTACATGATATTCTTGTTAAACCATTTAATGGTTTGGAATATACACACCATGTACATTATATTCTTGTTAAACCATCCCATGGTTTGGAATATACACACCATGTACATGATATTCTTGTTAAACCATACAGTTTTAAAAATTACAAAACTGATTCAACTGTTCTGTTTGTCAACCCTTTGGCTGCCAACATGAGGCTTCCTGAGACAAACTCAAAGGCTGACATATTCCTGTCCACGGAATAGGACATATATGATTATACTTATCTCATACCTATAAATAAAATTTTACATGTTGGAAGCTGTTGTAGGCAAATATTTTCATGAAAAGTCTGTGATCAATGTGTGAAAAACTGTGACATCAATCCTGTCATAAAATGATGATGAGACCCTAATTTGAGTAGCACTTTAGTATATTCCAGCTATCTTTTAAGGTATATTCATCTTTTCTTCATCAAAAATAGTATCACCTTCTCCAATATGTGAGATATGCACATCTTGATCTATCAATTGACATGATTTTGACCAGTTTAGGGCGCCTGGTCCATTTCTCTAACTTAGGACCCTAAGATTACTGATGAGTCCTAGACGGATGAAACAGAGGTAAGATGCAGTTCAGTTCATTATTTAGTGTATATTGCAAGTAGTCCCTGAAAGGAGCTTGATCCCCTGTGTTTCAGTACAATAACGGATTGTAATTGTTACAATATTTCCTGCACTTTCACACAATTTGTCAAAATACAAAGTCTGTGATTAGGATAGAAAATGTTAAAAAAAATAAATTTTGAGCAGTTCTCAACAAACATTTCACAGTAAAATACTATAGCAAAAATTCCTCAAACTATCCCAGCATTATAAATGCTAATAAATGTTACCATGGTTATGATTTGAGTTTGTCGAATAAATTTAGCACTGAAACCATAAACTATCACACCATCGTATAAAACCTTAATTAGTGTTGACTAAATCAGGATTTCTTAAGTTAACAACAATGAACTAAATGACAACATGGTATATAATTATTTCAATTTTATTGGGAAAGTAAAATCGTCATTCAATCTATTGTCTGGACTAATAATATGTAATGAAGGAGTAACAATATCTGATAATTATATTTAAGAATAGTTTATTGTCATGATTTTACTGACAAAAGGAATTAGGTAACAGGTATGGCCTATGGCAGTCCTCTCCTTGCTATAATAAACAAACATCGGTCAATATCTGGTATCACTCATGCTTTTCTCTTGACATTTTGTATCAAAGACCAAAAAAAGCAATTAGATATGTACAGCTATAAACTGTGAAACCCCTATATATACAATTCCACTAACAAAAGATGAGAAAGGATTTAACAAATTATGTACTTTTCTGAAAATCCATGGTAAAAAACCCTGAAGTTGCAAGTCAATGTGGCTGTCATTATCATCCTTATTAATTCATACTTAATTAAACAAATTCAAAGAGTTACAATTCTTATGGTATTAAAAGTTGCCGAATTTTATAAAATACATATATAGGCTGAGTCACGGGAGAGTTAAATATTACGGGGTATGTATGCTAACATAAAACTTACTTCTATCATAGACAAGAAAAAGCAAACATGCATACTAACAAGCAAAAACAATGTCAATTGAACACCATGGTTCATGCAACTCATCAAGTTCATTCAATACAAAAAAAGACATTTTGAAATTGAGCATGTCATAATGTCAAAATGCAATAAGTCAGATTTATCAATAATATATTAAATTCTTAGTCCAAATTAAATTGTAAAAGCCTACCACAAACGAAAATGTATTTGATAAACATTACAAAACCATGTGGTCAAATGGTCAACAACATGTGGTGTGTGACCACTGTTACTTCAATAAAGTACTGAAGCATGAAACAACTAAGGTAAAACTATACACGTGACTTGAAAACTAACGTGAAATAACAAGAGGATCATGGCCCTTAACGGTCATCTGAGGACTGAAGGATGAATGGACATATAACAGAAAAAAGATAGGTCAGATTTTTTACCGATTCGAAAAATGAGATTTGGTCAGGACAATCTCAGGATCACTTTAAGCATGTTTGATATCATTGCCACTCCCTAATAATGTTCCAGACCAAATTTGGCTAAAATACATATAAGCATTATGGAAAGGTATCTTTTTAAAGCAAGACATTGCCAGACCTTCCCTTTCCAGGCCTGGTGTAGCATAGTATTGTAAAGCATGGGGAAATGAACCGGGGTCAAAACATCATAATGGTGAAGTGAAGCCACTTTATAGTTTGTTTTCAATCAATGTTTCTGTACTTAAATTCATATCACTTTGATGTTCCTCCAAACATAATAAAACTGAAAAATAACAAGGGTTTGGAAATTTAGGGTGGGACAAGGGTTTGCGTGGGGGGGTTTCACTTCACCATGGCCACATATTTTTTGTTATTTCTGTGTTAGTATGATTAAATCAGGGTAAATTGCAAAAGAATTGGTAAAAAAAAAATGTTAATTAGTAAGAAAGAAGTGTAATGCTTCAATTTACCATGGCCATGGTGAGGTGAAGTGAACCCACCCCACCCCCCACCACTGCCCCCCCCCCTTCCCCATCCTGTATTTTTTTGTTTGTTTATTATGTATTGAGGAACATAATTAAATAAACTGATAAAAAAATTTAGTGAAGAAACAGTCATTGAAAACAAAATATAAAGTGGCTTCACTTTACCATGTGGGGTTGGGGTGGGGTTGGGGGTTGGGGGGGGGAGGGGAGTGGGGAGGGGTTGGGGAGGTTCATTTTACAATAATTGTGGGTCAGATGACCTAACATATTACTTATAGGAATTCAATATAAAATGGTATCAGGCAAAAATAATATTGTTCTAAGCTTCATAAGTCTTTAAAATTACTGGTCAGATATTCAAAAACTTGTGAGCTTCAGAAAACTTGATGTTTAAATGAAAACATGAGGCAACATGAAACAAAATCTAAAGGGGCATTCGTTTGTTTGAAAGACAGAAATTTGGTAGGCATTCGTTTGTTTGAAAGACAGAAATTTGGTATGTTTATGCTATCATTTTTTCAGTTGACACTTTAAGGCACATCATTCTAGTATATGTACCTATAAGTGATAAAATTAGCAGAGAAATGTACAGAAAATAGACATATCCTGTAATTGTGTAAACACTGCCTTCATGCGCCAACAATTATATAGTTCAAAAAGATCTAATTATGAATGTTTGAATATTTTGTAAGACAAGAACTTTTAGTTATCTGGCGACTTTGACTGCCGCATCAGTGTTAATAACTTTCTCTACTTTAGAAAAAAACATGTTTACCATTCAGTTTTAATCTTATAACTTAAACCAATTTCAATGACATAATGCCCCTTCAAACAACGGGATAGCTAATGCAGGTCATACTTTCCCACCTACTTTGTAAGTTGTCTGTTCAGATACTGAAAGATAAGATTGAAAATCAGACTCGCATGTCTTTTCTCAGAAATAGGACTATATTCATGACTATTTATCATACTTACATGTTTGTCAACTGTTCTCTGTATCATTTCTAACACATTTGGTGGCGCTGATTCACTCAGTTTATTCATTTGATCACGGAATTGGTGAAGGTTTTCGAAGTAGAAATCACAATTACTCTGCAATGTATTTTCAAATATATTTCTTATAAATCAAAAAGGATAAAACTGTCAAGTTTACCTCTTAACCATAGGCTACAACTACCAGAAATATTATTCTGAATTTTGAACACTGACCGCCAAAAAAAATATTGATATTTTATGAAAAAACTTTCTGAAGAAAATATCCTTTACCACATTATTCAATAAGTTTGGTAAAAAAATATGTCCGCTTGGCAAAGGTCCAAAAATAACATTACTTGAATTCACTTCTGAATATTAATGGGTTTTTCTTGATCCAAAGTTGGGAAATATGTCCATTCTGCTCCGTCCTTGGCAGTTTTTATGGGTTATTTTCAGTATATAATTCCTATTTCTCCCATTGTGTCTGATTCGTGGATAAGCCCTTTCTAACTATTGCTCAGTTTAAGTGCATTTGCTGTCTAGGTTTGTACACAGTAAGATGTGAGACAAAATTAATTGACAGAAAAAAAAACATCTAAATTACCTTCAAACAATTTTTGAAAAGAATAGCTTGAGCATTTGATTCTGGTCTTAACTTCTTCAGGTGCTGTATCTTTACTACAAGTTGGGACAGAAAGTCAGCAACATCCTCCTGTGGTAAATTAACAATGGCAGACATTCAGTTCATTGTAGAATAAAATTCGTAAACTTTTATCAACATATTTGAATAAAATATCTTATGTTTTTTTTTCATGAATGGAAACACTTTGTTTTAAAATAAAAATGTCTCTTTAAACTTGTGTTTTCATGTTTGTTGTTTTTCCAGGAGATATGTTATGTCAACAACAATGATCAAGTGCATGAATACGGCAATATAACCCACCACGAATGATTCAGTCTCAATATATTGAAGTTTTTTTAGTTAATCTTGTTGTTAACTGCGAAATTTCGACTGTATAAATTCCTGAATTAAGAATATCCACAAAAGAAATGAAAATAACACCCACAAAAATCAATGATTTCGCAGTACTTTCATTTCTATCTTCCTAGCTCAGTAATAAAAAACAATAATTATGATTATCTAAACAAAACAATGATATGCTTAATATACAGACCTGAGACTTTGCCAAAGTTTTGATATTACTTTTATTGTCTTTGTCTTTGTGGGACGTGTTATCTTCTAACGAGTCCACAATAACCTGGTACTGCAAAATGAATTGTCAAAAATCAGTTTATTTATAGAACCATAAAAAACAAGAGATCTGAGAGGGATCTTGAAGTCTACCAAATTTAGGATCTTTAGGATTTCTCTATAAGTTGGATCTTTCCTTTCATTTTTCTTCTTTCCAATTGGTCCCAAATTTAAATATACACAATTAGAGACCATAGGCAAAGTACATTTGAAAAATAGGATAATCCATTCATTACCTCTCAAGAAAAGATGTTGAAAACTTCATCAATCAAAATCCAAGATGGCCACCTTTTGGCCATTTTGTTCTTTCAACCAATCAAAAAATGGACAATACACAAGTTGGAACCAAGAAGAAACTTCACATAAGAAGTTTGAAAATAGTCCATTCAAAACCTCTCAGGAAATTGTGACAACAAACTTTAACTATCAAATTCCAAGATGGCCACTTGTCTGCCATTTTATTCCTCAGTAAGTCCCAAAATAAACAATACACATCTAGGGACCAAGTAAAATAGACATGAAATTCTCGAAAGATTTATCCAAAATTTCTTAATAGCAGTAACAAAACAAGAGATCCCAGAGGGATCTTGGCGCCCACCATTTGAAGATCTGTTTTCAGTTCTTGAAGATTTGTTTATTTTTTTTTGTTTGTTACAGGTGTTGTAAATGTTCATGAACTGGTCTTCATTGAATGTACTCAATGATGGCACAAGATATTTTTATTAAGCACCTATTAGCAAATATCATTTGAAAAAGATCCCAAAGTATCATTAGATAGCGTCAGTTACAGGTGGATAATGGACAATATGCTTGTGCTGTATTACTGTCGACATCCAAGACGGCTGCCTGTGGGCCACCTTGATTTCAAATAAGTCCAAAAAAGGTACAATGCACAACTAGGGACCAAGGGAAACCAATATCTATGAAATATCAGAAGGATCCATCCAGTACTTCCTCAGATATAGCAGTAACAAGATTTTACTCTCAAAATCCAAGATGGCTGCCTGTCAGCCATCTTGATTTCGGATCAGTCCAAAAAGGTATAATGCACAACTTGGAACCAAAAGGAACCTGCATATGAAATTTGAGAAAGATTCATCCATTACTTTCCAAGAAATAGCAGTAACAAACTTTTACATTCAAAATCCAAGATGGCCACCTGTCTGCCATCTTGAATTCGAATCAGTCCAAAAAAGGTACAATGCACAACTAGGGACCAAGGGGAAACTGCATATGAAATTTGAGAAAGATCCATCCAGTACTTTCCAAGAAATAGCGGTAACAAACTTTTACATCCAAAATCCAAGATGGCCACCTGTCTGCCATCTTGAATTCGAATCAGTCCAAAAAAGGTACAGTGCACAACTAGGGACCAAGGGGAAACTGCATATGAAATTTGAGGAAGATCCATCCAGTACTTTCTCAGAAATAGCGGTAACAAACTTTTACTTCCAAAATCCAAGATGGCCACCTGTCTGCCATCTTGAATTCGAATCAGTCCAAAAAAGGTACAATGCACATCTAGGGACCAAGGGGAAACTGCATATGAAATTTGAGAAAGATCCATCCAGTACTTTTCCAGAAATAGCGGTAACAAAAATTGTTTACGGACGAACTGACGGACCACGGACCACGGATGCAGGGCGATTTGAATAACCCACCATCTATTAGATGTTGGGCTAAAAACGTTGTTTTAAGTACTAATGGAGGACACAGACAGAGAGTAATTTGAAAAGCCCATAGCCTAATTATTCTTAGCAAACATCTGTTTATCGTAATATAGCTTCATGTGACTAAGTGTTGCAATAACACTGATAACAGGGAAGTTACAAGTGTGTGGGATGATATGTTACATTACCTCCAACAACTGCCGAGAAACAGATTCTCTAATTCTCTGTGCTGAATTATGGAGTACAATCAGGTCTGCAAAAACATCTTGACCTTGTTCCATAAATTCTTTTTCTACGTTATTTAGCTGACGATCAACCATTTTTTCTTGGCATAACTTGCAAATCCTCAAAGTCAATGATACTTCTGGTTCAACTGTAGGACTCTAAAAAACATGACAGTAAATCTTAGAATTGTTTCTAGGCGAAAAGAAGGCATAAAAACCTTAATACAGAATCAGAAATCATGTATATTTGTGGGGCTCAAATTTTGTGGGGTTTTTTTTTATATATTTTTGTTTTTTTTTGTCTTTTTCCAGTGCTTTGTAGGCACTATTTTTTTTCACAAAAAGTACTGAAAAAAATTCCATGTACTATATGTTTATGGATTTTTGAATATAAGAATTGATTCAGAGTGCATAAAGCAGTAACAAAAAAATTCCAACAAATCTAAAACAGTCACTAGGTACTATTTTTTGTAATTGTGGATCATTGATATTCTTGATGCTTAAATGAGCTGCGGTCACTGTATCTTTCCTTTTATAAGTCTTTTATAAAACTTGAAATTTATTCTTTAGTTTAAAATAAATTTTATGATTAAAATCATGAAACAGCTTTAGCAGGCTGGCGAATTTGTATTAAATAGATTATCAGATATCACACCAAGTAGGAAAAATTTTATCAACTTGATCCCATTTCTTTATAAATTTCATCACAATCTTTTTATACAAACTTAGTATATATAGGACTACTATACAGCTGTCAATTTCATTACATTCTCATACATATTCATGCGTGTACTGATACACTTCACAGGTCATTATGTCCCACAGAAGTGATACTGGAGGGACAGTATTGGACTAATGGTAGAGAAAAACATATCTCATTGGACACCTTGCATTACGGTGTATCCCAGTACGTTACAGAGCCACAGCTCAATTCTGACAACAAACCAAATGGTCAGGGCCTATGATACAGCATCAGGGAAAAAGACCATCTACCTCATGTCTGCTGAATACTGGTGAACTTTGGTGAACTTTGGTGACAGTCGACAAAAAACATGTAAATCAACCAATGAAAGAGACTGTGTATCTATTGACATATCCCGATTAACTATCTCCCACATTGGTGTGATATCTTAAAATCTATCTTAAAAGTCAAATCAACATAAGAATGATCACAAATATTTAAATGAAGTTTCTATGAATGAAATTTTCTTAATCAATATTTATAATACATACTCCGTTGATTTTAATGATTGCCAGTTTAGGGTCAGTCTGGTCTGAGCGGTCTTCGTCAGGAACGAAAACAAGGAGGTCCTTACTGGAACATCGTTTACACAGGCTCTTGCTACACAGTCGACAGTGGTGCTTCTTACGCATCAAGGAAAATTTGGATTTACAAATCTGACATATGTCCGCAGTGACTTCCATCTGAAAGGAAAATTTTTGGTCGATTAACACAAAAACTATTACATGTATCATATACGTTGTTAAAGTAATCATTGTCTGATTGTTTGTTTGCCAAATTTATTTTCCAGGGAATAGGAATGGTTATTTTCAAGCAGGGTGTTCCTGTTATCACTGGTAACTTCCTCACTGAATATCATGCTGGAGGTTCACCTCCAGCTATCCAGCACATTTATGGTTATCATGGTTATTATCAAAACATACAGAAAATTAAACAACATGAATAACAAAGAAGTATTGTACCAGCCAATATGGAGACTTCTGCCACTCCGGAACAGCTATGATTGTCCTCATCTCATGTAGAGACCTCTTCAATTCGGAATTTCCCACTGCGGACTTAAATCCAGCAATTAATCTCTTACACTCTGCTTCTAAATCAAATCTGGACAAAAGGAAATATGAACTAATCGTTCACAAAAAACCAGTGATGGAAACCCAAATGAACAAGAAAAGCTGACCAGGGATAACATTTATCAAATCACATTAAGACATGTATATAAGACTAATTTTACTATCGAGTTTAGAATTCAGTCAGAACATATAACACTTTCAGCAAGTCTTACATCTGATCTATATTCTATTTCTTTGAACAAGGTTCAGACCTTACAGCCAGAATTTTCGCATTCCTCACTAAGTCTTTGCAAGAGTAGTACAAGCTTCAGGCATGCAATGAAATTTTCATATACTGTCAAGGCATTTAATCAAAATTTTTCGCTGTTTTTAGAAATGAAATATCAGGATGAAGAAATATCATGCGAATAAAATTAAAAGACAAAGCTATGCTTCATTTTGTGATCATTTCTGTCAAAATCACATCCATTTTGTTCAAGCTTTTGGTAACTCATTGCATCACTTTTTCCACTTAAAATATTGCACTGAAATATGTTTAACTGCAATTTCTCGACTTAATTTATTTAGTGATCATAGCAAATGTGTTGATTTATCAGTATGCTAGTTTTGCCAAAAAGTTATATTGCCCTAAAATCTGACTGTGTCAAATTTAATAAGTTTGCAATAATGTGAACTATGAAAAATAAGCCCCTATGTAGTATCTTCTTTATATGGAGAAACATCCATGCTTTATATCGTCTCATGTGTGAGCTAATCATCAGAAGACAATGGATGACATCAGAGTTGTAACCAGTGTAGAGAAGTTTTACCTATGTCTCCATGACATATCTCTGAGAGATTTTTCTGCCGCTCTCTGTAGCTCCTTTCTCTGTGATCGTAATGCCAGATATGAGGCTGTTAAACTATGAGTGACTCCTTGGTTATCTTTGCCTTCTTCAAAACATTGCTGACACACCTGTCAAATACAACAATAATGTAGTCATTGTAACACGGTCCCTCAGTATGCATTTCTACAGAACAGAGAAATATGTGGATGGGCTTATTACCAGACTTCAGCTTGTTGTGAGGATAAACACCGGAAAGTTTACCTTGTACTGTTTCCCATCTGGATCAGGGTTGGCAAGGTGATTTAACCTTCTTCTGTACTTTAGACAATTCTCACAAAATCTTCCTCCACATCTAACATAAATCAGAGTGCAAAAATTAGACAGAAAGAAGAAAACAAGAAGATCTGGTCATATTACATGTTCACCATTAATCTAAACAGAAACTATAAAATGTCTTTTGCTTTCAATCTCTTGGTTTGTCAATTATTGACCCTTTTGTTTGCTTTTAACCTTTAAGATAAATAATATTCATGAAATCCACAAGTTCTCAAATTTTAATTAATTTTCTGACAGTTTTGTTATTTTATGAATATTCATGTAAGAATTCATGGTTTTAGAATATCAATAAAATTCATGAAAATAATAATGATAATAAAAACATTTTAGAAAAAACAGAATTTTCTTATTTTGATAGTTAACTAATTTGTACACAAAATTATATTAAAAACTTAATTTCACAAAAAAAAAATAAATAAATAAATAAAATGCTCAAAATTTTGATCCAGTGACTTTCCCTTCATTATTTCTTTTAAAGTCTAAAGATTTCAAACAAGAAATTTTTGAAAAGAAAAAATGTGAACATTTTTGACAAGAAATATCAGATGATGAACAAATGTACAAGTAGAGAACTACATGAACTTGAACAATACGAGTCGTATGTCGAGTGGATAGGAGACTTGAAGATCAATTTGAGACAGGCTGTACATTTTGGCAAATATTGAAAACAGCATATTCCTATGATTCTTCGTACAAACCTGCGGCAGTGATGTGCTCGCTGTATCAAAGTCAACTTTACTTTACATTCTTTGTTGGAACAGTGGGAGCCTGAAGTCTTCCAGTGTTTTCTTGTTATTTCTGTAATCAATATATCAACATTAAACTGTACTGTTTCCATCACTATGACAATAAGCCCGGCCAATCTGGTGATAAGCTAAATCACATCATATTGCTTATGAGATCAAATACAAACCTTTTTCATTTTACTGCAATAAGCGCAGTCCCTAAATGAGGAATTTACTCTATTTCCCCTATTTGGCCCTGCCTAAAGCTAAAAAACATGAAAAAATGCCAAAATACTAACTGACAAAATCTAAACCCTGACATTGACTGTTAAGTGAATTTTTTCACTCACCATTCTTTTTGTTTTCAGAGTCACCTGAGCTGGCTGCAGACTCTGCAGTTAGACCAGCTAACTCTACCTGTTTGGTCCAAGCACTGTGGCCTTCCCCTTCAAAACCCCATGGTGACCCGACTGAGTGTGCTCCTGACATGATTAAATGGAAATTCTACCTGAAAACACAAAGAAACAAAACAAAAATAGTAAAAATACTCTATAATTATATATTTTATGTGTTTTTTGTTTTAGTTTTTGTAAAGTACAATGCAGTGTAAAAGTTTTTTTCCATTGAATTCTTTTTTCAAAGAAGAAATAATACTGCATCAATAAAATTTTGAAAATAATATCAATTAAGTAACTTAAAGTCAATTTCGTGAGAGCCATATCAAAATTATCATTGCTTCAAACTTTTGTGAAACCCTGAACCATTCAAAATAAAAACTTTAAAACATTTGAATTTCAAACCACTAAAACAAATCTTTAAAACCCTGAAAGTTTTCAAACTGTTAAAAAAATCTTTAAAACCTTGATATTTTAAAATGTTTAAATAGCAATCATTAAAACCCTGAAGTTTTGAACATCAACCAACGGGTGACTGCGATTCAGGCTGTGCTAGGTCATCTGTTTACTGTCACCCTTGTTACTACCACTCCAGTGGTCTGGAATGAAATATATATGGTCCGGGATTGGTAATTGCTACAGTTTCTTTGCTGTGATATTCAAGTGATATGATAAGCAGGCACACACATCGGGTACAGCGGAAGAGTAGTTAGCAAATGTAGTAGACGAGTAGAACGACAGTAGACAAAGGCTTAGACAAAGGCTGCAGGAGGAGATATTACGAAGACAAATTTGACATGGGAGATAAACAAAAACATTTGACCATATGAAAAAATCACCTGTCATAACGATATTAACCTTTAACCTTATATCATCACCTGACTATTTACAACGGTATAAACATGTTCATCCATATCTTATCTGAAAGCGAAAGTAGGAAATTCCATGTTTCCGAATGGTGGGCTAACTACACATGAAAACACCAGAGGAAACCCAAATATAAAGGTGCGTTCGTATATATCAGTGCGGCGCATTTGAGCAGTGACGTATTCTGTATTCTGTCCTGGATGACAAAAAGACCAATAAGGAAAACTATTCATTTAGATAATGTGTGCTTAACTTACGGATTTATTCATAAAGATTTACCTTTATAGATTGAATCGAAAAATTTTGTTTCTGAAAAACAACAAGAAAATACAAACATGTCAACATAATCATAATCCAAACACAAAATCAGTTCAAACTGGGCAAAATATGAACAAAAGGAAGATTTACACAGAGAATCCTGAAAAAGTTCTGAGAATAAGAACAGTTGTGTCAGAAGTGTGAGTGTCTTCTGCTTTATCAATGACCCACCAGTCCAAATAAGTAATGTCATATTCTCAAATGAGAAAAAGTAAAACAACAGAGTCAACAAGCAAACTAACGAGCATGAAAGACGTCCAGCTTCATATCACAAAAACATACAGAATGTTTCTCAATGAGTTCACTGTGACAACCATAAAACTTCTCTATAACTTTCATCAACCTGTATCTTTTGAATCAATGTGTACAAGTTTGTCTGTCAGTTGACGACTTCTTGCATGAAAATCGTGATAATGGGAACAGGCCCAAGAATATTGAATCAACTGTGACATGGAAGCACCATAGGTTTGGGGGAGGTTGCTATCCAGATCAGGAAAATTCGCATTAGGAAAGCTGAAATCATCACGTATATCATACAGCCGGGTGGAAAACTGTCCATGTTGGGTTTTATTGTATGAATGATATAGATATTAGTAACTGATTAAGAAGAATCTGTCCTGTTTTTGATTTCCAGTTCTGGTGGGTATATACATGTACAATTGATGTGGTCAATACATTTCTTGTTGTTATCTAAAGACAAGACTTCAGCAATATGTCTGAAAGTAACATCAAACAACTTTACAGTGTGTTTGTGACTTGTTTTGATAAGCGCTCCATTAAATTCAGCCTTGTATGAAAACAAAAACAAATCAGCCAAAAAGGGCACAGTTAGTTCCCCTAGGTATGCCAAGAGTATGTTGGAAGATCTTACCGCTGAACTCAAATCATTTTTACGATTGTGTCCTCCATTCTTCTTTGATTTGGACGGGTTTTATAATGCTGTTCACCTCTCTTGGAAAAGAAAGCTTTCATAACAAGAGAACGGAGGTGTTCCTTCAGTTTCGAATGGGGTAAGGTGATGTACAGAGTGAAAAATGAAATGTTTTAATAGAAGATTTTTATAAAGAAGAGGGTGTTGAAGATTTGTCAAATGATCTTACTCATACTAATATTTCAACTTCTTGAGTAAATGGTAACACAATAATACTGTAACCCATAGTTGATAGTACTAAGAATGGTGGTTAGTAGTTTTTGACAAAGGCTTGATTGAACAGCTAGCCATGCTGGCAATGAAACATTGTTTACATGAATTTTTGTGAAGTTACATGAATCCAATATAAATGGGGAAGGTCCTTCTCATTTTTAAATGGCCAATCTAAATCATACCGAAGCATGATTAGCCAGTATTTTGTCTTTGGAAAGATTGGAAAATTAGTTCCGAAAAAATTCAATTGGGAATAAATATTCATATGTCTTGATACACTATGGAAAAGTGATTGAACTCATTAAAAGGAAATCTTTATACAATTGGTTATAAACAGTACTTGTGGTAATACTTCAGGTGACTAGATAAATATGTGAAGAACACAAAAACGAATTGATAACAAATTAATTTAATGAGAGCAACATTAATATGTATACATGCTATATGGTATGACGGAATCATGAGGGCAGTTCTTTCCACAAATGTAAAGTTATGGATAAAAACATTGAATACATCCACATATTTGTATCTTAAATTGCACTTGGGAAGACCATGATTGACCTGAATATCTAGAGGGTAATAACGGGTAATACTGAAACTCTTTTCCTATAAAATCTGCAAATATGGCATTGTATCGTAGATATGCTAATCACTAATTGACCGTTAATTTCCTTTCTCCATCATTGTAATGTTTGGAGAAAAAAGGTTGTATGATAGATGGAAAAACAGTTCTTATGGAAAATATATGACAAAATGATATTTCAAACACAAAACAGTTGCAAAATGAAGCAGTTTTCCCCCATATTGAACAAGAATTTACATACATTTCGTTCTGATACACAAATGCACAACATTGCAAAAGAAAAGTATAGATGTAGACCAGACATGTATAATAATTACAGATTCATTAAACGAGAGCAACATTACCCATCAAGTGAACCCAACCATTACTTTTTGATGTGTAATTGAATCTGAAACTTTCAGAACAGAAAAACAATATTTAGATACTTATTAAACATTTAAAACAGAACAACACTCAATGTATTGATATGGGTAGTAACAATTCATGTGTGAAAAACACTGCTTCAACTCAGTAAATATTTTTATGAATCTATCTGTAGATAAAACCTTATTACTTATGAAAATTAATACTATTATGTAAAATGAACAGCAGTAAAATCAGAACAGCACTTTGTATTAATATATGAGTTTATATGCTGAAGGAATTACATACAAAGTTATACTATCACATCTTTTCAGATACATGATTTAGAAAAATACATACAACAGTGTGTTCTCAGTATGGATGAAAATTTCATTTTTAAATCTCTTTTTATTTATTGTATTTTCTTAAAATTAAATCTACCCATAGTTGTAAAATGTTTTTGTGACAAGCTCTGATATACAGCAGGCCAGGTTTGCAGGCTTATTTCATCCACAGTGTGCCAGAGGATCGTACCCTGTTCTGTACAGCACGGTACGTCACACCCACCCTATAAAGTAAACCCTAACAGTTACATACTTGTTGGTGTGTTTGAAATTTGACAAAATAAACTTTACAGTGGAAGTTAAAAATCAATTATCACTGAAAAATATCTGTGGCGTTGATGAAGCAGTCACCAGTTCAACAATTGTAGATAAAAGATATAAATAGTAACAATAACATCAAAAATGTCAAATCAACTCATAAACACATGTATAGATATACATTAATGCTTTATTATGTAAAAGAAACAAAATAGAACAGCCTCTAGTTGTATCAACATGATAACCAATAAGGTATGTTAATAAAACAGTCATCTGGAATGAACAATTAAAATATTTGGTACAATGTCAAAAAAATTTCTGTGGTGTGATGATTACCTGTTGAAACTAATCATAGTAGGTAGGCAGTATTTAGAATTGTTGATATAATTCAGATTTACGTAATTTACATCAAATCCATCAGAGTCCTTACGACAGTAGGTAAGCAGGGACACTGCCCTGGGTCAGGACACAGACAATCATACTTAGTATGTGAACTTCTTTTGACTAAAACGAACTGTCACATATATTGGAAGCGTAATACTAACTTTGCCTGAAACACCGTTCCATTGTAATGTCTGTGATATATGTTAGATGCCCCCTGCTAGAGTAGTACTGCCTATACATGTCCGTTGCTAGTGTTGTACAATCTGTTTTAGTTTGGTGCCAGTGCTGTACAGTCGATATTAATCTAGTGCTAGTTTTGTACTGTTTATATGTCTCTGGAGATGTTGTTGTATATTAGTGTGGTGGTAGTGTTCTAGTCTACATTAGTCTGGTACTAGTGTTGTATGGTCTATATTTAATCATTGCCAGTGATAAAATCCTATAATTTTGTGGCACTCATTTTTTGGGGTTGTTAAAAAAATATTATTTAGTGGACAAATATAGCGAAATAAATCTACTTATGATTACCTAACAGTTCATGGACATATGAAATTGTGGTACACACAAAATGAGTAAAGATGAATCTGCCAGGAAAAACTTAAGATTTTCTAGTATACTGTCAAACTATTCCTAGCTCTAGTGTTCCAGTCTACTAATGCCTCCTCCTCTGATACTCCATTTGCCTGTGAAGTCTGATTTTCAGTACTATACCAGTATCTGAAATATGGTCTTTGTAGATAAAAGAAAAGTTAACAAGCATTGTAATGTTTATTTGTTGAAAAGCTGACCCAGATGAAATGAAATTGAAAATCAACATCAGACAATTAACATAGTTTGAAAAATAATGTATTTTCTCAATCACCCGGACAGTTCTTGTTTTGATAATTACAAATTTTGAACTTTTAATACTTGCATGAGATAACAACACCCCAAACAAGAGCATACACCATATGCCTGTTCTTTTGGTGTGAAATATAAAAGTATATAATAGTATAAAATGGGTACAAATACTGCAATGGCACAATCATTTCCAAATCAAAATGTAACTGAAAAAGCACAATTTTAAATCATTATAAGAAAGCCTACTAAATCCAAAAGAACTCAGGAAGAGGATCTCATGCAAACGTAACTGACAAGAACAAATAATTGCTGAATCTAAATGTCATTAAAAAAAATTATATATTCTCAAAAAATAGCAATAACAAAAAATATTTATGGATGGATGGACCAAGAATGCAGAGATATTTGAACAGCCTTCCATCTGATGATGATGGGCTAAAAGTGAGGGATTTGATCATTATACAAACAAGTTTTAAAAAACAAACTACGTCGTAAATTGTGCATATATAACATTCACTGCTCTCCCATGTTAATAATTCTAATTAAGTGTGAATTATACACAAATCCTTTTCAGATATAAACTGTATTAAATGTACACCTTTCCCAGGGAGACATGCAATACTTTGGGGTTTGGGGTAAAGCACCCTACGAGCCATCCATCCATGATGAGGACCATACAATTCACCGTTTTGGTTCACCTTTGTCATCACAGTGGAAAGTAAAACTTGTTTAAACCGGTTGAGGTCAAAATGTACGTATGATACACGATGACAGACAAAGGCAGTCACCACACATGTAGATCATTCTGATTGCCATTGATAGAGAGTACCCCCT